CCTGCTTGGAGGGCAGGAACATACTTTTTCACAGACAGTCCAGCAGACAGATTGATTAAAAGTCTCAAAGTCCACGGTAAGAAGCCTGCCGGTTAAAACATCCCATCTTCCAAGTATTTGACTGTTGTAGGCTCAGTGGCATGTATCTCCCTTGGAAGGAGAGTGATAGCTCCACCTCCTATGAACAAGAGCAACACACACAGAGCTACGGAGTATCTAAGCGGATGAAATATGGAAGAGCAGAGCCGTTTGCAGAACCGAGCAATCAAAAACGCTTTATGAAAAGGCAAGTCTTAAAGCAGGCAGCCTTGTATATACAGTCATTAACCAACAGAAGTGTTCGTAGCTGCAGATACAATAGCAGGACATTCATCTTCTTTGGGAGAAGACAGAAGCACGGTTGCTAGGAAGTTTAACTCCAAAGCTTCCTAGATCAGTCAACTTGCAAGGCAGACCACCAACATCTAGCGGGTTTGAAGCAGATTTTTTTTCTTTTTTCAAGAAAGCTGCAGAGCATACGAAGCTCTTTCCCCCACCCAAAGCAGTTTTCAAAAATGCCTTTCTCGAACCTCTATGTCCTACTCCAGGACAGCGCAAGCTGTCCAAGAGCCGCCACCCATCATCTAAGAGGGAGTCAGAACTCTGGGGGAGGTGGTGTGAAAGGCAAAGGAAAAAAAGCCCCTTTTTCTAACAGAGACTACTTTCATTTCAACATAACAGGATCTGAGCAGTGCAGTGAAAAAGCCAACAAAAATATTTTTTTAAAAAAATGTAAACATTCTCTGCATAAGGTGCAGGGTCTTGGATGTATGTACAGTGACATAGAAAAGAGTTTGTAAAATATAGATCAAGAGTCAGAAATGTAGCTACCACTTACGCTTCTGAAGACGACAGAAATGGAGAAACATACAGCATTCAATTCGTCAACACTTACACAGCCAAAATGCTTTCAGAACTCCATGGCTAAAAGCGTCCCACCATTGTAACAAAGATTTTTTTAAAATGTTTTTTAAAAATTTTTTACATTATTTACTAACAGAGGATATATATGCAGAAGCATGTCATACTACAGCAAAATTCTATCAATCGGCCATCTGCTTCACCGAAGATTATGCACATTGCCATGTGTTGCCTTGTTGCTCCAAAGAACTCCTCTTTCCTCTCCTCCCCGAAGCAACTCAGGAACTTTCTGTGAAAGGCAAACAGGAGCTGGGTTTTGTTTGGTTGCTCCTGGGGTGAGGTTTTGTTGTTGTCACTACTACTTTGAGCATTGGGGTGCCTATTAAAAAAACTCAACTCAATACACTGCTGACTCGCACCATTTAGTTTTCCAAAATATTTCCTAGATCCAGAGAAGCAAAGGCTTTCAGAAAACTATAAAAAAAGTTCTTGCAGTGCAGCTGTGTTTTCTGCAGAGGACACCGATAAACTGTGATGCACGAAGAGCCAAGGTAGCCAACGGAAGTTTCGGGAGCTGGATGCTCTGAAGGGGCTGCTGTCACTTGGTTGTGGAAGACAACCCTGAGCATCCTTCTGTAGTGCACTGAGCAACGTACCTAGAGCAACTGCGGCTTCTCTGGAGCTCCCTCGCCCCAGCAGACTATGCATGTTCATGCCTCTCTGCCCTTCAAGCTGTTCAGGAGTGTGGACTTTCACTAGGTTATTTCTTCTGGGTCAGGCAGAAGTACACAAAGAGTATAAAAATCTCAATCACGTCAGACAGACCTGTCACTAACATGGTAAAAAGTGTTATCTACTGGCATCAGTTCATAGCCAGAGCTAATCAGGGATGACACAAAGGGCTGATGGGTCTAGCAAATTAAATAAAAGTTCTGTTACTCCTCACTTATCTGTACTTGGCATTCCAGTTCACGGCCACGGCCATTAAAAACCCGTTACATTGCTTCAGTTATACCCAAGACACCACACGGTGCGGGGCAGCACACCAGCTGGCACGCCACAACCCAGCCCAGGCCGTGCTGCTGGCAGCCTTGAGCTGCAAGCTCAACACACGCTCGTGCTGCAAAATAAAGATGCACACGCCAGCGTGCTTCTACCGTCCTCCCTGTGAGCAGCCAGTGCTACCCACCCCGCCGACCTGCACCAGTCCTTCTCACCGGGGCTGCCAGCTAAACAGCTGTTTAGTACTCGGTCAGGCTCACTTCAGCCATGCCCACTCTGCAATTAAACAAGTCTTCCCTCCCTCCCTCCCTCCTCCAGGCACACGGGGAGCCCCACTGTGCCCTGCATGAGTCCCATGGAAGCCCCAGCCCCGTCCCCTGCGCTGGCGCTCGCATCAAAGACCATCTTGTAGGACAAAGACAAGGCATTTCATAGACAGAAATGACTGTTCTCTCAATGTATAGTGCAACCTCTACTTATATACATGGGATATGTTAGTCAACATGCTGTATGTCTGTATGCCTTCATTACTGATATTTTTTTAATATATATATATATATTTTGCAACCTAGAATTCTTTCTTAATACAAATCTTGTAAGATTTGTTTCCAGCAGGGTATGTGCTTAGCACATCTGTCATTTCACACAGAAGAGGTTGAAAAGTCTTCACTTTCACCTATAAAAGCATTTTACCATTGACTTTTTTCAGTTTTAGATATGTGCTTAAGGGACAGGAGAGAGGGGGAGGCTGTTAGAGAAAAGAGTATTTTCATGAACCAATTCTCTGTTCTACTCAAAGCCCACTCATGACATGGCCTTCAGATCATCACCTTGCTCCCCAACATAAAAGCAATTAATATAAAACGTGGTCATCTATTGCAGCGTAATAAAACTGAACCTTTTCCAACTAAGAGGGGGAGAAGGAGAAGAGCTCTCCCAGACCCTACATGCTGTAATCTCAAAAACAGTACATGGTGACAATTGCCTGAATGAAAACAGAAGGAAAAAAAAAAAATTCAACAAAATGTATCCTACCAAAAAAAAAAAAAAAGGTAATGTCTTGGTGTTCAGTTACAGAATGTCACCCTGGTTTGCTCCTCTTTAATCTATCATGATTCCCTGCCAGGAGGGACTGCAGGGAAATGACATCATAAAGACCATTTATACAGAGATGGAAGTTATGGCTTATGAGACAAGCAGTGTCTTCCTGGCATAAAACCACCCTTTGCCCAATGAAAATCCAAGAGATTTGAGTTGTTTATATATCAAATATTTTTTTCCCCTCTGGAATGCAAAAGATCTGGCTGCAAAAACTCAGTATAATAAATCATATTTGTCTTAAAAAAATTCTCCAGAATAGAAAGCTTTTGTTATAGATTAGTATTTATCAGCTTTGATTTCATCTTTAAAAAGAAAAAAAAAAAACAAAAAAACAACAAGAAAACCAAGTCACTTTGGTGTTTATGAGAACTGGGAACTAACTTGCCTTTACCCAGCTCTGCCACTGCACTTCAGTCATCCTGTACCAAACTGGGGCTAAAGCAGCCGTCAGAAAACCATGGGCTTAATACAACACCGGGACCCAAAAGCAAGCTATATTTATTTGGGATAGGGTGGGAAATGCATATAAAATGTGGATCTGTTTTCCAACTATCAATGTAAATTCTGCGCCTGCTGGGAAAGACTTGTGACGTTGTACCAGTGACCTCTGCTTGTTCTAGCTCTATGCTGATGCTCATGAAGGAAGAACTCCCTTCAAGTGTGAGAAACTGAGTTCTATGGACTCAATGAAGGAGCAAAAGTAACAAGTTTAAAATTGTCCATGTAACCCACCAGTTTCACTAGCAGATGAGAAAGAGCTGGGACAGCTGTAGCTTTAGATCACCGATTCAGAGAGGGAAGACAGAAACCAATAAAAATATGTTCTTCATACCTGAACAGCACATCAGACTTTGGAAGAAGTGAAGTCATTTCAATGATGGCTGAAAAAACAAGCAGACTAGAAACTACATTTAAAAGGAACAGGGCATTTGATCTCAAGCAAAGGCATTAACAGACAGAGGTGCAGAGCAGCCAAAGGAATACAGAGAGCATCTCTAACCGAGGGAACAAGCAATTAGATTCCTCCTCCCCCCGCAAAATGCCCCGATTCAGATTTTTGAGACTACAAAAGGATTTATCGTTTGCCAAAAGGGCTCCTCTTACATTCTGAAGCGAAAGCACTGGCTGTGAAACACCACCGTCATGCTCTGGGCCGTGGGCGCGTGTCGGTGAAGATACCTCCAGCTGTCCTGGCTGGAGAGTCGCCAGAGCTACAAGACTGGCTGCTGCTTCAAACGACACTCACTTGAAAAGCTGAAAACTGTGTGCTGTTGTGTCCTCCTTACCACCTTCCATGCTTTGTGCCCTCTAGGAACTGGACAGAGGAAGTTGCAGTCCATTGCATCTGGGTGTAACTGCAGTTTAACCTAGAGCTGTTACCCTGGTGCTATCTGACAAAGGTGATGCACCTAACGCTTAAGTACAGACCAGCGCATCGCTCACCTTAGCTCGCCTGATCAAAGCTTGTTTTACTGATCTGAGTGACATACAGTAATTCAGCAGGCACACACTCAGGTGCCCGTCAGCCAGTAAAGTTCAGGCTAAGTCAGTCTTGTAGCAAGTAAGTTTACAGTACAGTACGTGAGAGAATACATTGACTAAGTTATTGCCTAAGGCTCCAGCAGGCTGCGTTCCCAACTTGGGAGCCAGCAACGGCACAGGACTGCGTTGCCATCTTGGAATGTACAATTGCTTGGTCTAAGCATCACCAGGAGCCGCCCATGCAGGACAGAGACCGAGCCTCCAGCCCTGCTCCGCGGCCCGGGCCTGGCTGTGCCTCGGCGGAGCACGCGAGTTCGGTCAAACCAGAAAGGATCCCCATGAACAGGCAGCACGGGACCTACCCAGAGCAGCTGCAATTCTTGCAGGAACTGTATGTGGTGCTGATATGAAATTTTATAAATTGATTAAGGTTTTTGTTTTTGTTTTTTTTTTAAATGAAAGTGCTCTCTGTTGCTCTGGCTCCATGGATCAGGACACCACCTACAGTTTTAAGAATCATTACATATTTGTACTGTTTAAGTGAACAACAATCTCTTCCCTCCCTCTTTGTACCTCCTCTCTTTTCCCTTCCCGCTCCTTCCTTTGCCCTTGCCCTGTGCTGCTTGCTGTTGTGTTCAATATGAGATCAGGCAACCCCCAAAGGCCAGTTTACATTTTCATGTTTTGTTTTTGCAGATCTCCATCACAGATGGAATTTTTGCTGGTCATTTCTTAGAACCAATCCATTAGCAGAACAAACCAAAAAAAAAAAATAAGAGGGCAGTGAAAACAAACCCCATGACAGAGACGGAAGAAAGAAGAATCAATAAACAAGCAGAAATCAGTTTTCCACCGGGGTGGGATTTGCTAAGGGCTGGCTCACGATGACTTGCACCACGTAGTCCTTTGGAATTTTCAGCTCCTCCAGTTTCATTTTGTCTGCCAGCGGCCTGCCCGAGAAGAACCAGCGCTGGCTGCCCGGCTCCACTCCTTCCACCGCGTGCAGCCGCCTCTTCATGTGGTACACCGTGTCCATGCTGCGGACCATGAGTTTGAGGTCTTTGCCTGTGGACAGGCGCAAACGAAGCTGGCATTCATGCCCTGAATTGGGTGGGGGATCAGGAATATCCAGAGTCTCCAAATCGCCCTTCTCCTCTATCATGTTGATAGGTGGGGCGAGGCAGTAGACGGGAAGCTGGTACCGGTTGCCCAGTTCATCGTAACACTCTGTAAGAGCACCTTTAGGAGATAAGAGCGGAAAAAATTAGTATGAATGCATTTCACATTTAACAGTGAAGTGGTCACACTGCGAGACATTTACCCTACTGTTAAACCACCCGAGAGATGAGGTCTGAATTCAGGCTTTAAAGGACTGATACAAAACCCTCAAGTTTTCATTAAAAATTGCTTCGCCTTGTTTTTATATGGAAACTGGGGTTTCAGTTAAAGGCAGCCCTACAAGCCAAATGCACCCTTCCCCCCAGATAAACCAGGATAAACTTCAAAAGCAGCAGGAAGGAAGAGACAAAGGAGGACAATGTTCTCCCCATGTGTTATTCAAAAGAGGAGTATTTCTCTGGCAGCATGGCTTGAGGTTCAGGGCACATATGCACCTAGAAAATGCTACTTGGATGAATCACACTATCCTGAACCTAAGCTGTAAAAAGGCAAAAGACCACTGTGAAAAAGATTTTGTAACTTCTCAAACATTCCAAAATTGCTAAAACGTTTCATATAGGACTCATGTTTTAGCAAGCGCTGCCAGAACAAACAAACACGACCACCCAAGTCAAGACAACTCTGCGGCTCTGGCCGGAGCACAGTGTCACCACCAGAGCACTGGCACCAGCACATACTTTCTATTTGCACAGCATCTCTAACTCCTGTATCAAAGCCCTGAAGTTTCAGGAGTGGATTTTTATTCCACCAGAGTCCCAAGAGGTTCCTCGGGATAATCTGGGAGTTCATGTTGAAGACGGAGGGGCAGCGGTGTGCTGCCTGGCACAGGGCATTCCTCCTTACCGGAATGGCACAACGCGCACAGAACAGCTCAAGAACTATAGCACTTACTGAAGTAACACACACAAGCTGACTTTTTCACAGTATGAGACACACTTTATAAAGATATTTCAAAAACTACCCTGGAAAAACGGCAGCACATTGTTCATAACATTTGAAGAGTTAAAGTAAGAGGAGGCTGAAAGCAGAGCCCTGCTGCATACAGCGCATGTCACGTCTTGCAGCAAGCCAGGAAACCGGGATGCTGAGGAAGCTGCATCCTAAGTCACAGCTGAAATCCCTTCTCACTGTGGTTAAAAAAACCCAGATATTCACACTCCAAGCAAATGCTTCTCCCCTGTTTCGAATTTACCTGCTATAGCAAATTTCCACATTTTTGCCCCTAGAGGGGGCACATTCACTTGCAAGATGACCCATCCTTTTGTAGTTGGAAATGTTTGAAGAGGAGCCAAGTCCTTGAGCTACAGTATATTTAAAAAAGTCTTTGACTCGGCAGTTCTGCACACAATACCCAACTGCTCCTTGTTAGAAAATAAAGTGGTTTTTTTTTTAGTTGGAGGTTTTTTCATGCTGACAGTGAGTTGTCTTAAACATTGCTGTTTGATCAGCAAAATTGCTGCAATACAAAATTATAACTTGGGTATATAGTGTGCCATGCTGTGACAGCAGCATCTTGTGCTGGAAATCTCCTTTCTCTTAGACAGAAGCTCCCCTTTTTTAAGGGTAATTTGTGTCGATGAAAACACACAGAAGAAATCTTTGGCTAAAATATCAACGTTTTAGGTGCAGCTGCTTTTGGAGACTTTTCTGTTTGTACAGGTAGCACCAAGGCAGCTATGCTCTGCGATTTATTGAGAAAACAAAACAATAAAAGGAAATCCAGAAAAATACTGTTATACCACTCATTACAGTCTTCTATTATTTATGAATCTCACAGCAACCAGCTTTTATCAAAACTGTATTCGATCTGGTACTTTGTGATTTAGAGACTAAAGCCTGAAGTTCCCATACTTCAGTTTTATTTTACAATGTTCATTTCATTCTGTATGGCTGATCTATTCTGTAAATGTCACAGTACTAAATTCTGGATCACAGTTCAAGATGATGTAGTCTGCTGCTGAAAAAAAAATAAAAAAATCCAAACTTCAACAGCCTTTCAATTTAGCCAGAGCAGCTAAATTTGTACATTTCTTCAAAAGCCATGTGTCTTAAAAAGAATACTCCTACCTTAAAATAGTATATCAAAGAGTTAATTTTAAATACCATGGGGTAAGCTTGCTAAGGAATTTCTTCATCATTTATATCCTTGCCCAGCTGAACTAACATCAAGGTCAAAGCATATGCTATAAACACCAGATTGCTTAATCATAATCAGATAAGCAATATTAAAAAAATCCTCTGAAACAGCAGCTAACTTGGAGGTCTGTCTTTTTTTTAAAAAAAAAGGGTTTTTTTTTTAAAAAAAAAAAAGAAAAAACACACAGTAGAGGAAACCTCTTGCCAATAAAAACTGCACAGTCCCATCCCAGGCTGAGAAATAGTTTATAACAAATTGTTAACGTAACAACGAGTTACCATAAGCCTCACCAGTAATCCCGTTCTTCCACTCATACTGGTAAAAATGTCCCTAAAACTCTCAAGTTCTATTACCTACCACTCAATGGCTTTCAAGGTGTATATATCGATTAAAGCACAGAAGACTACTATTGTGAGCAGAGGAGACTTCACGATGGCACCACCTCCTTACTGGCACACCACGCCTGCTGAAGGCCAAGCTGGAGCTCCAAGGAAGAGATGAGGAGGTGTTGGTCCTTGCCTCCCAAGAGACATGGAGCTGCACACACAGCCTGGTCCTCTTCAGCC